GATACGCTAATGAAATCAAGCCTCCCTCTAATGTACTTGAGTCTGTAAAAAATGTCAAATATAATTTTTCCTAATACCTGTCATAGAACCTGAAGTTATTGAATTAATAAATTTTTTAAAGTCTAAAGAAGCTGCAGGGATTGATGGTATAAAATCTGAAATCTTAAAAAATATTGCACCTGTTATTGCTTCTTCTCTAGTTCATTTAATTAACTATATTTTCACTACTTCTTGTATCCCTCAAAAATTCAAAACTGCAGTAATAACACCAATCTATAAAAAAGGAGAAAAAACAAATGTTTCAAATTACCGACCAATATCAGTAATATCATGCCTAGCTAAAGTTTTTGAAAAATTCCTTAAAACTCGCATTACTAAATTTCTTGCAAGTAATAAAATTACAAGCAACAACCAGTTTGGATGATTCCAAGAGGAGATCTCGACAACAGATGCTATTTTGGAATTGTTACAGGAATTTACAAACTCCCTAGAAATTAGCAAACCTATCTTGTGCGTGTTTCTGGATCTGGCCAAGGCCTTCGATACAGTTTCTCATACGCAATTGTTGGTGGCACTGGATAATATAGGAATTCGAGGCGAACCAAATAAACTTTTTGTAAATTATTTGTTAAATAGAACTCAAACGATAAAAATCAATAACATTTTAAGTGAAAGAAAATGTAATAAATTTGGTGTGCCACAGGGTACTGCGTTAGGTCCTATACTCTTTATTATTTATCCCAACAGTATTCTTATTCAATTGCGGATAGATTGATAAGCTTTGCAGATGATAGGCAATTGTTTACTCTGATAATACCTGAACAAATTTAAAAAAAAAAGAAAATTATTCAAAAAATATACTCGATTTATTTAGTCATACTTAAATTACTCACCGTTAATTTCGAAAAAATTTACTTTGTGCCTTTTTCTAACAATGTTATAGTCTATTTTTATGTATGAGAGAGTAATAAAACAGCATTTCTAATGCAAAACTTAGTACGGTCATTTTAAATATTTTTACAGAATAATCTAAATATTTCCTAAAATTGTAATAAATGTACCTAAGCTATTACAAGTTTTGGGTCTTTTATTGGTCCTTTATAAACATAAGCTGTACAGAACAATAGAAAAAGGTTTGGACAGGCCAAAAGCCCTGTGTATTAAAGACTACATAGCCGTATCTTAAGATTATTTTCAATAAGTACCTATTTGCCAATTTTGTTTTATTTTAATTCCAAGAATTTCTTACAGTAATCGAATTATAAGTAGATAAATACCTTCCCAACAAATTTCACCGAAAATGCGATTATAGGTTTTCCATTTAGTAAGGAGGTCCAAGTTGTGTATTCTTGACAGTTTACTAAATGTCGTTTAGTTGCAACTTGCAAGGTGCAGTGTGAATTCTAGTGTGATCATGGAAAATTTGAAAGGGCCGCGTAAACGACAAAAAATCGGTCCTTTAACAGTTAATGAAAAAACATTAATATTTAATTGTTTTAAATCATTTACAGACAAACATTTATGTAAAAGTGTTGATGACACAGTGGAATTAGTTAGTAGTACGCTTGGTGTTGGGAAATCTACGATTTACAGAGTTGTTAAAGAAGAGAAATGTGGCGAGTTCTTCTTTAGAAAAGAATTTCCGACAGTAGACAAAGTTCTTGCCAGGGTTCGAAATGATAAGAATTACCCTGAAATGAGTCGAAGTACATTATGGAAACTTTTAAAAGAAATAGGTTTTCTATGGAAAAAGCATTCCAGAAAGTCTATTTTAATAGAAAGAAGCGATATTGTAGTATGGAGAAGAAATTACCTAAGGACTATGAAAGAAATGAGAAACCAAAGAAGAAATATATTTTATTTAGATGAAACATGGATCAACGAGGGACATAAACCAAATAAATTTTGGCAAGATGAAACTGTTACAAGTCGAAAACAGGCTTTTTTAAATCATTTATCTACTGGTTTAAATCCACCATCAGGAAAGGGGCGCAGACTAATAATAGTACACATCGGTAGTTCAAACGGTTTTGTTAAAGGTGGTTTATTGACTTTTGAATCTACTCGTACCGGTGACTACCATGAGGACATGAATGCTGATGTCTTTAAAGAGTGGTTCGAACAAATTATAGATCTTCTTCCTCAGAACTGTATAATAGTAATGGATAATGCAAGTTATCACTCGAGACTTATAAAAAAAATGCCCACAACCAAGTGGTTAAAAAAAGATTTACAGAATTGGCTAAATTCAAAGAATATTAAGTTCCATCCCGGTTCTGTGAGAAAAGAACTGTATTATTTGTGTTCCCTTCATAAAGAGAAATTCAAAAAATATGAAATTGATGAAATTGCAAAAAATCGTGGGATGACGGTGGTTAGATCACCACCGTATCATTGCGAAGTAAACCCGATTGAACTGATATGGGCACAGATAAAGGGAGAAGTTTCAAGAAAAAATAATTCTTTTAAAATGAGTGATGTTAAACAGTTGTTTTTGGAGGCTGTAAATAATGTGAAGCCTGAAAACTGGGAAAAGGTAGTAAATCATACGATTAAAGAAGAAGAGAAAATGTGGAAGTTGGACAATATTACTGATGAAATGATCGAGCCACTCATTGTAAATATTGATTGCGACAGTTCATCTTCTGATTTCGAGTCTGATTTGGATTTGTAGGTAAGAAGTAGTTTTTATATTAAAATTATTATTTATGAACGTAACGTTGTTTAAAAGTCAAACCCTTATACCTACATAACCCGTTTGACACAATGTTCTTAACATACCTTGTGGAAAAATAAAACATTTTAGAAAAAATTGCACTTTTTTACCTTCAGTTGTTTAGAAGTTATAAGCAGGTTAATTAGGTGAAAATATAAGTGTGTACTCGAGGAATAATTTCAAAAAATATTTTAACTGTCTACTAAAAGAAGTGTTACGCCTATGGATTACGAACGCTTTATTATTTTAATACTCTCTCATACATAAAAATAGACTATAGCTAGTAGAATAGATGCAGTAACTCCTTTAAGGATCAACTTGGGGAGGATTATGATGCTCTGTTTGAAATAAGCAAAAGAAACTTTGAAAATAATGTGAAAAATTTGGTTGCATCATCTATAAGTTTATAAATAATGTTATGTACCTCAATGAGAAAATACTTACATGGCTTGTACATGTAAAAAATAAAAATAAATAATAAAATACTTTTTAAAATTATTTTTCAATAGTGGATAATAATACCTAACCTAACCCGTATCTGTATTCACATACAGAGTTGGGATAAAGTACGAAACCAAATAAATATCATAACCTCAATCATAACCAAAACGTGATTTATAATGTTAAAAATTTGCAGGATGATGAAATGGCACATAGGGCATAATCCTGCGACTTTTTTCTTGTTGAAATATACCTACATCTTGTTTTTCGAATTCGTTTGTAATGGGTTTGGTATTAGTATTTATTTGGTTTCCATTTGGTTCCATACTTTATCCCAACTCTGTATGAACGTAATACAAATTTTGGGCGTTATTTTAAATTTGCACAAGGGCGCCAAAAGTGCTAGGCGCGAGCTTGCTGAGATAGAAATACAAGCAGGACAAATCTGCGACATAGAGTCTATCAAAATTTTATACTTATATCCGATATTTTGATATTTATACTAAAAATCATCAACGTATAATTAGAGTACTTTTTAGTAGTGATATGAAATACAGGGTGTTACATTTAAAAAAATTGAGAAAATCATGTATATCTGAGTTTTGACTCACCCTGTACACGTCTGTTGCGCTGGGAAAAAATTAGTATATTCCTATAAAAGTAGACTATCATTAAAAACGATTCATCAGAAAATTTTGATGTTCGATTGTTTCTTTTGAAATATACAGAGGGTTGAACCTGGTACGATTTTCATATAAAATTGGTTTAAACTTCCAAAATACCCAGTATAACCTCATACATGTTGGTATTTTCTTGAAGGGCAAAGTCAGGGGAATTCAAATTTACAATTAAATACAGGGTAGTACATTTAAAAAAAAAATATAGGTTTGATCAATTCTGAAGTTATGGATCACTCTGTATAATCGAAAATAATTTTGAAATGTGCAGATTAATGTTATCTACAACTTTTGTAAATAAGATTGTTTGATATTTTCTATAATACATGATATATATCGAACTTCCACACACTATTGGGACACCCTGTATTTGTCAACCTTGTAAATAAAAAATCTTCATTAAATAATCTTTGTCGATTCTAAAGGAATTCCGTACAGACTGTATCAACCCCTATTTGGTTTAAAAATGCTTCAATTTGGTAAATATGTAGTTTACTTAAATTCTAGGTACTACCACGAAATACCTACCCTGGTACTCAGGTAAAAACGCTGAGAGAGAATAATGTAAACATTTCTTGAATTGAGGTTATGACTATGTTAGTAAATTTTCTATTTTTTTTATAAATTTCAGTACATTTTAAATTTTTATTAAATATTTTTAATTCTTTATATTATAATAAGTTAAGGTACAGTAAAATAGAATAAAGAAAATAAAATTTTAACTACCTATTATAAAGATATAAAGAAATATTAAGTACCAAACTAAAAGAAACTAATTACTAATTAATTAAGTAATAGAATTCCTTTGAATTATCAGAAAATTCTTTATTTAAAGTCATAAATATAATCTTAAGAATTCTAAATGAATTATTTGACATGAAAACACTTTAAAATTACTATGTTAACATTCAAATCAATAATTTAAGTTGTTTTAATAGGTTTATAAGGATAATTCAGTATTGTTATTTATGCCCGGAGTAATGCAATACTCCTACAAACATTTCCTGCATCAGAATAAACTAGAACACCTCCTTCTCTCTACTTCGAATGTATACAAACACTACAAACAGCGAGTAAAGACCTAAAAATCAATGCTCGCCTGTCCTTCCTCGAAGCTATTCTTTGTTTCCGCTATAAGACATCGAGTAAGAAATCGTTCTACTCACCGTTGTCTCGCCGTAAATTCCACTGAGCATAAAAACAGCACAAAATATCGTCGGTAAATGCCACATTTTTGGAAAAAATTACACTAGTTAACACACACTACGCGAATGTACCGACACCGCTATTCGGTGTTTCTTGGGTGGATTCACAATTCACGACTGATCGCAACTCCACCTACCGGGACGAAGCGTACGCAAGCGCTGACTCAGTCATCGCGAGGTCGCGTTTCGCGATTCGATTGTATATGAGAGGGAATCGAGTGATTACGTATCGATGATGGGTAACGATAGCGGAAGCGATGGATTGATGAAAATGTTTCCATATATTAGTCAAGGCATTGAAGCAAAAAAGTTTTTTAGACTAAGGATCGGATTGCGATTTTTTGCATTCGCTTTCAAACATTTTTTGGAAAAAATGTCCCTACTTTTTATCTTATATACAAACTGGAAATTGTATTTCTGCAGCCAAAAATACATTCAAAAAATACATTTTTTGAGTTGGCTTTTGGAAGATTAAAAAACTTTAAGAGTCAAAACTGGCCCAAATCGGCTTCGTAGAGGTTTTCGAGGTCGCTGATCACGATTATGATGTTCAAATTGACCCACAGCCGACCTGGAGCTCAGAAATTCCGACAAACGGCATCTCCTCGGTACTCTCCAGATATGCATAAGAGAAAGGAGAAAAACTCAGCACCTGGGGGTTTTTGGGGTCGCTGAATTCAAATATGGCATCTGCGAACACCCCCCAGACACCTGGTACGCACAAACCTGGACGTCGACGTCATCATTGATAATTTTCATGACAAACTCGCCAAAAACAACCCAAAAATCATTGTAGAGGCGTTTTTTGGGGCGCTTAATCCAAAGTTCACGTCTACAACAAACCCCTTGAACACCTAGTGCACCGGAATCTGGCTCTGAACGTCGTCTCCGAAGGTATTCCTCACACAATCAAAGAAGACGAACCCAAAATCGTTATAGGGGTTTTTAGGGCGCTGAATCCGAATTTCACGTCAAAAATGACCCTCCCAACACTTGGTGCACCACTTGATGAAGAATTTGATATTCAGTTATGTATCTAAAAATTAAAGTTATTAATTAATGAGGTAAGGTAAAGTTACAGTTATATTGTATTTGATTTAAGTTCAATAAAAAAAATTTAAACGCCAATTACATAAATATTGACTTTCTATTCATTAGATTTCCTTCCTCCTCACATAATTTAAACTAGAATCAACAATTCCACACTTTTGCAGTATTGACGTCTGTCTTTAAAATATCAGGTTTGGTTGACACTCATGGGCATGACATCGATATTAAGATAAAAATTCTGGTGCACCAGGTATTAAGAGGGTTGTTTTCAATGTGAAATTCGGATTTAGTGCCCCAAAAAAACCCCATAACGATTTTGGATTCGTTTTCTTTGATTGTGTGAGGAAAACCTTCGGAGACGACGTACAAGCCCAGGTTCCGGTGCACTAGGTATTCGGGGGATCGTTTTCGACGTGAAATTTGGATTAACGGCCCCAAAAAACGCCCCTACAATGATTTTTGTCCAGAAGGTGTTCAACGATGTCACATTTGAATTCAACGACCCAAAAAACCCCAATGACGATTTTCGGTTCTTTTTCGATTATGTGAAGTCCGCGTCCAGGTTTCGGAGCACCAGGTGTCCAAGGGATCGTTTTCGACGTGAAATTTGGATTTAACACCCCAAAAAATGCCCTACAATGAGTTTCGGGTTGTTTTTGTCAGGAAAATTTTCCGGGATGACGTCCACGTCCAGGTTCCGGCATACCAGGTATCCAGGGGATATTTACCAATGCCATAATTGAATTCAGCACCCCAAAAAAAAACCCATAACGATTTTCGGTTCGTCTTTTTTGATTGTGTAAAGAAAACTCACGGAGATGGGGTCCGCGCCCAGGTTCCGGTGCACCAGGTGTTCAGGGGGTCGTTTTCGACGTGAAATTTGGATTCAGCCCCAAAAAATGCCCCCATAATGATTATTTTCGGGTTGTTTTTGGCGATCTTGTTAGGAAAATTCTCGGGGATGACGCCCATGTCCAGGTTCCGGCACACCAGGTATCCGGTGGGTTTTCGCCGATGCCATATTTGAATTCAGCGACCCAAAAAACCCTCAGGCGCCGAGTTTCGCTACTTTCCCGCATGAATTTCGGGAGAGTCCCACGGAGATGATGTTCATCGGCATTCCTAAACTCCAGGTCGGCTGTGGGTCAATTTGAATATCATAATCGTGATCAGCGACCTCAAAAACCTTCGGGAACCCGAGTTGGGCCAGTTCTGACTCTTATTTACACAGTTATTCTTTATTTTCCAAAAGCCGTTTCAAAAAATGCATTTTTGGAATGTATAAGATAAAAAGTAGGGAGTTTTTTACTTCAATGCTTCGACTACACAGTTCGCTAGTTGGAGAACTGTGATTTGATATCGAATATAAAATTTGGAAAACTAATTGTAATCGACACAAATTCCCAAGAATATTGACTATTCGGTATGATACTTTCAAGGGTGTCTTTGTTTATATTAACAAGATTACGACACAAGAAAATCAATGAATTTTTGAGGGAAGATTCATTCAGATTATCGCATCGCTTGAAAATGGTCTACATCTAGAACTTATAGATGAAAGAGAAATTAAAAACATAATCAATTCACTTAAACCTCACAAAGCACCAGGTTCCGATAACATTAAGATTGACACCATAAAGCACATTGCTGATGAGATAAAACAACCCTCAACATTTATAATTAACAAATTTTTAAACGGGCTTATGGCCTTCCCATTTTAAGCAGTCAATGGTAATACCAGCTTATAAAAAATAAGATCAAAAAAATGTATGCAATTACAGACCAAAAACTACCCATCTCGTCATCAAGAAAGACTCTAGGACAAAAGTGTTTTACTTATTTGACACCAAAGCTTTTTAATTTACTACAGAAATTTAAACATACATTAAAAATTAATTCGCTAATTTTCATTAAAAAAGTTTTCAAAAAATTCCTAGCTAAAACTGAAAGGGAATATAAGGTCTGATCAAAAAATAACCGTTATTTTCAAATTTCGTGAGTTACGTATATTCGATTTTCGCATTTTTTTTCTGTTATGTTGGTACACATATCTGTTATATATGTTGCATTGATAAGGCAACGTAAGGATACGTCATATGTATTATTTTTGATATACAAAAGTGGAACCGGTAGGCGTGGCTTTTGCACTCACTAAAATGGCGGAAGAGCAGAACCGGATTTACAAGTTTTTATTGTACTATTTCTGGTTAAATATCATTATTTGAACTATAAAAAAATTAATTTCCTTTTTATTGACATTGACTTAAAAGGTAGTGGAAGGCCGAAGTTATAAAAGAAGGGGGTTTAAAAGCTTAAATATGCCCGGCTTTCAGCCGAAAGGTGCTGAATAAAGTAAATGAAAGAAATAAAATATAACTGATTTAATTATCACTCAAGTGGCTATTAAGCGCTGGAGAATATATTATTTGCAAAATTGCAACTAATCAATGACCATCATATAACTAACTTGGGGCCGATTCCACCATTGGGTTTAACGAAGTTTAAAATGACATTTTTGGAATTAACCCTAAAGCGTTGAAATCGTTCACAGAAAAAATAAATAGTACATTTTTGGTTCACATAAGCGACAAAAGTAAACAGAGTTCGATTTATTGGATCAGTCGTCACACGTTTGCACTAGGGCACATAAATAGCTCAATCTTTAGTTTTTCGTTTTTCTATGAGCCCAATGCTTCTGTCTTTATCGGAAAGTACAAGGTCGCAAATGTCAAGTAATCTAACCATGGAAAAAGAATCTTTAATTAACAGCTTTCTCGAAATTAAGAACAAATATTCATACACTAAAAGCTCGATAATCAGATACGAAACTTAATGCAAGGCTCGCGGAAAATGGCTAATAAGCAATCTCTGTGTAGGTAGATGCACTATTCAGGAAATCAAAATGTGGATTAATCTTACTTGGTCTTGGTACTTTTGTAGATTTAGACTGAAAGGTGTATATCTTCATGCAAGATGCAAGACATTCAGTAAATCAGCGAAGCCACAACCAGCGGTGTGCAGGTGCACTTCTAACAAATGTAAAATATGAAGTGATCTTACTTGAGACCTATAGATCCAATGACGATACTATGGTAGTTGGTTTGAGCTGGGCTTCTCACCATCTGCAGAGATTATGGCTACTTATGTAAAGGCCTACCCTAATAACACACAATATGCCCACAAGCGTGCCGGTCCAATTTAATTGGTCTATGCACAATAATCATGCATGTATAATTGAAAGTCAGACAAAGAATGTGAAGATAAAGTTGAAGTCTCAATCATAATTAAAGTCACAGATGAAGTTAAAGTTAACAGCAAAAGAGTTGAAATTGTAGGATGTTGATAAAGGGAGGCCAACAGCTAGGTAATAAATGTTTATTGAGTTAGGAAAAGTATCCACTGTGCTTTTCTTAACCACTAAGGTAAAAACCAGAATATTTTCTAATACACAATTTCTTCGCTAGGCAAAATAAGAAATAAATTTGTGAGAGTACTTCCCAAGTGTTTTTCCAAAAGCTCTAAGGACAAAATTGACGAAAATGGCCTAATCCAAGTTCAAATTCTAAAACTTGAACATTAAAGATAAGTATCTTACTGTAAAACAAGTAAAACCCCGTTGTTGACTAAATGGTTGAATAATTCATTACCTAGGTGGAGGTAGAACAGGGACTAGAGTTTAGCAGAAAAAGCTACTAGAAAAGGTGAACAAAACAGACTGGGGCATATGAACGTCAAGCAAATATTGTAAATGCAAATAATGTGTGCTGTGATTAAATAAAAGTGTACAAGGAATAAAGTTTTAATATTTTCTTATCCATATCTATGAGTGATATTTATTTTTAATACTAGACAAACGGTTTTGATTTTATTGCTAGTCTCATTAAAAAAAGACTAATCTTATTTTTTTTTTTCGACTTATGGCCAAGGTGTATATACCTAATATGCCAGTCTCAAGCTTGTGTTTAAATTCTTAATAATTGTCTTCTGTGTAGGCGTTGTTACTGTTTCCCAGCGCCACTTCATGAACAGCACTGTTAATTATTAGAACCCAACAGTGAATGGTCGAGTGGGGAATCATACCAAGGCAT